GCAACAGAAATGGACTAATACAGCTACCTAACGTTTGGGCTCCCGTGCAGCATGGAAATGCAGGGCCCCTTTCAGAAAGTGTTGAAGATTTCAGGATGGCAACAGCAGACCATTCAACCACTCGTGGGGCCTTCTGAGCGTGGGCCCCCGTGCAGCTCCATGGGTCACACGCCTGTGAAGCAGCCTGATCACATTTTCCATATTTAGTGGAAATGGATTTGGAATGTCTCTCCCTGGATTTGGAAATAGCTAGTAAACGAGTCGGTCTGAAATCATGAAAATAGATCTCCAACCCTTTGCATTTGCTTGATGGACTTTGGGGACAGGAGGGAGGAGGGTGTATAATATCCTTCAATGTGTTCTTTTAAATGGGCCATAGGATGCCACTCTCGGGGCCTAATAACAAAGGTAAACGATGGGGGCGGGAGGAAGGAGACCCGTTGTTTATTCCTTTATTTCCCCCCACAAATTTTGGAGAACTATGGTGACCCGGACTCTGCAGGGACCGCCTAACTTGACCAGTGTCATGACCGCCCGACTGCCCAGGGCCACCAAAGGGATTCTCCAACGCTGTACTTTTATGGGGCAAAATTGTAGCTTTGCTGTTTTGTTAAACTCAGAAATGCTTTCCAGTTCGTCGTAGAAAAAGGGGCAAGTATTAGACCTAATTCTGCTGGGGCATCGGCACCCAGGTGGCCTGAACTTGGGTGGTGGAGCTTTTTACTGTTACACTGTGGAGAGAGAGCGTGTGTGTGGGTGGGTGGGTGAGTACTGAGGGACGAATGGCTGTTCTCCAGAGTGTCACATGGAGTGGGGGAGAGGGTGGCTAGGGGGGGTGGGTCGTTGGGCCTCTTGTCTCAGGGTGGGTGTTGGGGGAAGCCACATTAAAAAGAAATGGGGAAAAAAGGAAAATGAAAATGAGACGAACCCAAGTGGCATTTCCTGGCCTTGTGGCCTGAGGGGAGGAAGGCTATGGAATATATTTAGAAAACTTTCAAACAGCTGGTTATGAGTTTTTTTTTTTTACTCTGGCCTGTTCGTGTTCCTTACGGAATTATAAATGTGTTTATGTGGCTGTTTGATCCCAAAGCAATGCCCTAAAGAGGCAGTGTCTCCAAGTTCCGGAAGATCCGATGGGACCACATGAAAGATGATTATCTAGTCAATAAATGGGGGCGGGGGTGGGACAAGGCTTTAATTTCTGGGACAAGAAGTTCAGGCCTTTCCTTCCTTCAAAGGTCACAGGAAGAAGGCTCCCACCCCCCACACCTGTATTTGACTCTTTAAAAATGTAATTTCCTCCCTCTCGGAGGAGACAGGCCATGATTTCTGAAGTTGAGGAATGCCACTGTTGATTCGATCATTGCCTCTTGGGGTGTGACCCCAGTTGTTTGCGCAATTTAGGACGCCCAGAGACCTTATTTTCCCCTCCCCAAGCACAAGGTTTGCAACCACAGCCAATAGCGCTATTTTGGGGTTTCCATACTCACTGGCATTTTCTGGATTTGTAATTTTTTATATGACTCA